AAAAAATTAGACTTATTTTTATAACATTTTGTTTTTAGAAAATAAACGAAAACTAGATTTTGAAATGAATTTAAGACTAGTTTGTGATAACGAATGGATATATTGCTCCGAGTTTTTGCACATGACTTACGCCGAGAGGGTGATTACCATTAGGGTAGATCCTCGTCCCCTCCAGGAGGGTGGTGCCCACATTGCACTCGTATGTTTGATATAATTTAGTAATCTTTAGTACGGTAATACATTTAAAACTCTGTCATAGATTAAAGCGTTTGATACAACATGTGTAGAAAAGGGACCGGTATTTCAAATTCCCATTACTGTCATAAAGCCCATAAAGTAACGACATTTACATTGATTATACAATGAAACATTCAATTAACTTATTATTTTAAATAATTGTATAAGTTATACAGTATAGCCATTAATACCAAGCACTCATTTGGATAAAATTAAAATTGATACTTTATATAAGATGATTCACATACTTTATATAAGTATACAAAAAGTACCAATTTTAATATTAACAAAATGTGTGCTTACTATTAATGGTTCATGTTCCTATTTTTAATTTTTTTTATTATAACTTAATCTATATAGAATGCCGGAAAGTAAAACCATAAAAATTACCCAGGTCTATAAGCCTGGCTACATTTGGCGCCAATTCATCGATATCCCGGCTAATGTCACCTCAATGGTGGTGCGCGTGAAGAACTACGAGCCCATGGATTTAAAGTGCATTTTGCAGGCCTTACAGGTCTTACAACACAATACATTCAAAATTCATACAATGGATGAGAGATTTGCACTGAAAGCTCAAACTCATGCCAAATATGCGTTCCGTTTACACGGCTCGCGAACACTGGAAGTGTGTTTCGGACAGACGTTTGAATCGTTACACAATTCTCGACTCAAATTAAGCGTTAAATTCTATGGACTCCAGCCCTCACCCAAGGCATACACAATGGTTCGTGTAATGACTAAACAAAATGATCATGGCACTTAATCACAATTGTATTTCATCCGAAAAATAGCTTTCAAGCGAAATGATCGCCAGAATTGATATTCAAAGTAATTTCGATGTCGAGAAAGTTAACCCTCAGATTATCCTAGACCATTTTGTACAATCACTAATGTATGATATGAATATTTATGTACAGTATATATCTGTTATGAATTTACAAATGGGAATATTCAAAGTAATTTCGATGTCGAGAAAGTTAACCCTCAGATTATCCTAGACCAGTTTGTACAATCACTAATGTATGATATGAATATTTATGTACAGTATATATCTGTTATGAATTTACAAATGGGTTATTTAAACTTTTCATTCATATGACTTATAATGTTAAAAAGTGCCAATCAGTCATATGAATTAAAAGTTTAAATACACTTTTGTACATTTTAAACAAATATTAATATATATCTGAATATATGCCTGCAAATTAATTTATTAACTAACCTAGGCCGATTGAACATAAAGTACGTCCACTGGACAGTCGCGATGTCATACCACCCGCCAATCAGTTATACGAGACTTTATTGACTTACGAGCTGCGATTGGTTTGTATTAAAACATCCGATATTTAAACAAAAAAAATATTTTTAAAAATTTAATTTCTAATTAGCCAGAGCACCAGCAATTACATATAGGTATGAGTGCATTTGTATATTTCTGAAAATCTCATACATATTGACCTTGTTTTTTAATTTTTTAATCTCCAATTATTTGGCTTAATATAACTTATAGGCATTAACTCAATGCTATATGGCCCTGATATTATTTCATTGGCGTGGTTGTTATTCAATGCAAACACCAAACAATATATGGGTGCAGGTCTGGACACGCCATCACCAGTAATTATTAACCATGCTAATAGATACTTTATAATTAAAAATTAATAATAAATTAATTTAATGTCTACCTATTAATCAAAAAGTATAAGTTGTTATGTCATATGACAATAAATTATATGAAAACAGAGTTGAGGTATACCTTTCGATTTCTAGGCATACATTATTAAATACTAAAAATTTTAAAAATATAGATCAGACTTGAACAAGGCACTTACATAATAAAAGTGCAAATAAAACACACAATGAGTGGCCAATGGGAAAGATTATGTCAACTACCGGTGCACATACAGTACAACGTAGTTGACATTAATTCACTGGAGTTATACGATACGTATCGAAATGCCATAACCGAAAGCACCGGACATTTGTATGGGTCAGTTACATTCAATAAAAAATATAATATTTCAAGTCTTAGAAAATATAACTTGCACAATGCTCATACATACGGTTAATGGATATAATTATGTCACTATGCATAAATATTACCCCCAATGACTAAATTTAGGTGTTATTCTCAGTACTTATGCAAAATTTTGACCAAAAATTTCTGTCCCAAATAAGTAAATACGTTACATAGTAGCTTGTAATAGCCAATACATTATAGCGCTTACTTCACTTACAATGCTGGGTCATCGGCTGTACAATTCTTTAATAAATAAAACCTACATGATTATATAGGTTTACCATGCTAAATTAAGAATATCGGGGTCTGATAATCTATGGGACGGTGGTCTGGTCATAATCCAGTGATCAAGTTTCCGATAATCGCATTATTTTCAAAGTTTTTATATGCATTATTCACTTTTTTACATTACTCATCAAATGTCTATTGAGTTTGTATAGAGCTTTATACGAGTATCGCAAACTTGACCACTGGATTATGACCAGACCACCTTCCCATAGATTATCAGACCCCGATATTNTATTGGCGCGAATGCGGGCACTGGACTCGGACTCCCGGCGCTCGCAGCACTTGTATCGACAGATATGTTTGGCTAACAAAGTGCTAGATTTGTGTAAAATTCACGATTTGATGGCATCTCATGTGATCCTAAGAGCAGAGGAGGAACCGGATGATGACAACCGACAGGCGCTCAAAGAGTCCGTAAAAATCAATTCATTTTAAATTCAATTAAAAAACTAATTTTACGTTTATTTCCGACAAACAAAAGTTGGGAAACAAAGAAGTCTACCGTTTTGGAGGTACTGGTGCTGAAAGGAGTGGCCATCTGTGATCTCATCGATGAGCATAAAAACAACACTCCCGTGACTAGTGATGAGGTCATGCCTGTGCCCAGTGTTGATGATACCGGTGCTGCCGGTACTACGCCTACCATTTCGGATGCGGATCACGTGTATCGAGATATTTGCAAACTAGTGGACGATCCGTACGGCTATGAGGTCCACAAGTTTACGGAAAGGCATGCCTTATTGCACGGGTATTACGGCCGGGCACTCAAACTCTACTCAAAACAATTTGATTCGCTTGTGTGCGATAAACAACAAGTGTATCGTAAGATGATCGAGGTACTTTTGTATATATTTTATTCTAATTGGTATTATGGACTTATTTTGTGCGTGTTTTGACTTATCCAGGTATTTAAGAGCTTAAAGTGGACTCACGCTGAAAATCAATTCAATCGCAATTATTTCGCTATGTTTCCCAACGATTATCGACTATTTTGACCTAGTATCATTCATTCACTTTGCTTATAATTGTATCAACGTAATTATTTTTCTAGAAATAAGTTATTATGAATTCCATATACTCGTGCAACATTCAATGATCATGATCATTACTTTTTAATTATTAATCATGAAACAAAAATGTAAACCTTTATACAAAATAATATTTTATTTTATTTTTAAAGTATTGTAATTTTGTAAAAAAGCAATAAAGTAAAACTAAACTAAAATTTAAATTAAACTAAAACATTACCAATTAACTAGCAAATGTCCAAGGTGATCTTATAACCCACACTTTTACTTCGTAAATGCGAGTAAAAAGTTTATATTTTAATTGAAAGTTTATTATGATTATTATTTCATAACAATACGTTAATATCTATTAATACAAATACAATACATTATTATTAGAAAGTTATCGTAAAAATAGATTGCATTTCAATATAAGTAATACTTATAAATAATTTTTACAAATATAAAAAGTAAAACTTATTTTATTTTACAAATCATTTCATATTAATTCAATATTAATAAACATCTCATATGATGGCAGAGGGAGAGAAAGAGAGAGAGAGAGAGAGAGAGAGAGAAGTTGTGAAACAAGCTCATATTTTAAAAAAACTTAAATTAATTTAAAATTTTGTAAATTAATACAAAAATTACATTAAAAAATTGATAACAAATTAAACAAATAATTAATAAATGTAAATAAAATACAAATAAAAATCAAAATAGACTAAACATAAATGAATACTAAACATAATACATTAATGTCATGTTATGTGCCAAATATCTATATGGCAACGTGTTAGAGTTTGACATGTTGCTGATTGACCTGGATACATAAATTGTGTATGATTTAATAATGAATTATATTTCATTTTTATTACAATATCTTGATGTATATTTATTTAATAGTCATGCACTGGATTAACTAAAACCAATTGGCACGGTATATAGAGAGGCAGTTATCATGGATGACATGACCAAGGTACACTTGGGTACTCGCAATATATTCGCATATAAACAGCCTCATTCATTTTAAGGCTTTGTTGGATGAGTCTAGGTAACTTTCATGGGTATTTATATGAGCACAATAAATGAATTGTAAAATTAATTCATACACATATTGATGCAATAGATGACCTGTCTCAATGAGGTCCCATAATGTTGGCACACATTGTTCATCTTGAACAAGGTCATCCTATGTCTCATTTATTAGATAAATAATTTTTTTTGTTTGCTTTTAATACAAAAGTTCTGTACCGATAGTGTGGTGGTGCGTGATATGAGCTAGGTGATATAATTATAAGCCATGTCATTCTCTAACACGCTACCGGTGCTGGTAATCACCTAATTATTTGCTATTTTAATAATTTTATTTTAATATCAAAATGTTATTTATACAAAATATTTTTGTCTATAAAATAATAATTATAAAAAATAATCTTTGTAATTAATTTAATTGCAATTCAATTGTAAATATTTTTATTACTTAATTATAGTAATGTTTGCTTTTTTAATTTCAATAAAACTTTTAATTTTTAAAATTAAAAGTTAATTTATTATTTTGATATAAACGCTAATATTTAATCAATTAAATTCAAACTTTAAAAATATTTAATTAAAACTAATTAACAAATAAAATAATTACCAAATACTTCAACGCCTGTGCTAACTATACCTCTATTACTAGACAACACTCTCTTATGTGTAATAAAGTTATCATTAGATCACCAAAAAAATTAATTTTTAAAAAATAAGTGTTATAATAGTTTACCATTTAAAACCAACCATTAAAATATTACACTTGGTCAATCATGTATTCAACTACAAAAAGCCATCAAATCAATGGCTACTATAAAACTAAACCTATGTATAAAACTAATCATCTGGTGGTACGGGTGGACACGTGCGCCCAAATCAACTACCGGTGCCACGTGTTAGAGAATGACATGACCAAGATTACCCTGATGCAAATGGCAGATATCAACATATGGGCGCTACGTCTATATCAGGTACTAAATGTCAAACAAAAATAATAAGTGGTTTGTGACTTATAATTTATAATTTATTATTACTAAATATGATAACTATATTAATTGTTAATTTGTCCATTTATTCAAAGGTAATGCATCGAGACACAAAATGTCCTAGACCTAATTTTGGTGTTCAATTTGTGGTGTACCGGGATTATGACCACTAATAATGTGAGAAGTTCTTTATGTGATTGGCCCAAAAAAGTACCATGGTATGTCAAAATAATCATTACAATAGCCTGAAAGGTGTGTTACATATGAATAATGACTTTATTAATACTTAGACATAAGGATACAATTGGTTTTGTGGACAATAATTTTGGTACACGTATTCAGATCGAGAGATAGAGAGACACCTACCTTGGTGATAAGTCTGGGTTAAGGTTAGGGGCATGTATGCTTTGTACTTAATTAAAAGTATGGCGGACTTTAATTTAAAATTTTATTGCATCTCAATTTTAAAATGATTTATAATTTATGCGTTGCAAATAACCATGCAAAATTACGCGTAATTTATTTTTGGCGTAAAATTACGCGTAATTTTACATTTTAGCGTAATTTATCAAAAATAAGCAAAATTTTTATTAAAATGTCATATCACTGGAATTTACATCAGAATCTGAGTTATAATTAGTTACTATTTCAATGTCACTATCATTTCCCTGATCAGAATCATCAGAATCGGAAGAATCTGAATAGATTTCATTAGAATTTGAACTATTATACAGAGATTGAACTGCAACTAATTTTTTCCACACATTTATTATCAAATTGATTCCGGTCTATTGTGGGAATTCTACAACAGAAGGCGTTTATAAACAAAATTACAAACAATATTATTGATTTTTTCTTGAATTGAATTTTACTGTATTTTAATTT